GCAACTCTTGAAGAGCATAACACAAGATGACCTGCGGCACTGCTTCCAATAGTGGAAAATTCGCATGGAGCGGTGTAGGGATCGGGGAGGGAACTACATTGAAGGGGATAGCATTTTGATTGTCTGATTTTGTTTCAATAAAGGGTTAGAGCATGAATCCGGTTTCTTTATTGCCGCACCTTGTATACAGAAATCCAATTGTTTTCCCACTCTTATTAAAACACCGTGGAAGTCATTTTCCTTAATGCTGTTGAGTGCCACTTGCGATTCCTGTTGAATGTCAGACACTGTTTCAAAATGTAGTTTCTTCGGTTTCATTTTCAATTTGGGAAACAAAGCGAAATCACAAGGGTCTAAGTCTGGTGAGTAGGGAGGATGGGGAACGATAACCATGTTGTTGTTGGTCACAAGCTCTGTGGTTTTCAGGGACATATGGGCGGGTGCGTTGTCATGATGAAGGAACCAATTGTGTTTGCTCCAAAGTTCCCGTTTTTTCGTTGCACATTTTCTCTAAAGCTTCTCAAAGCGTCACAGTAAAAGTTAGAGTTGACTGTAGTGTTAGGAGCAACAGATTCATGGTGAAAGCCCCCTTCACGTCAAAAGAAAAACAACAAGAAGCATTCTCTTTGTTGAACTCTGGACCTGCTCTTGGTGATTGTGGGCTCTTCCACTGTGAAAATTGTTTCTTTGTTTCTGAATCATAACTGTAGGAGTAAATCCAACTTTCGTCACCCATTATGATCCTAGAGATAAAAATAAAAGTTGGATCCTCATTGGCCTTCTTGTTTAGCTCAAGACTCATTTATGCGATGCTGCTTTTGATCATTTGTCAAGAGTTGGGGGACAAACTTCACGAGAGTGCGGCACATGTTCAAATTCTATTAAGATCTGTTAGCAAACTATAACATCCCAGCGGAGTCTGCAAGCTCCTGGATTGTTCAGCGACAGTATTCATGGATGAGTTGTTGAATTTTTAAAACATTTTCTGTCATTTTGCCAGTGCTTGGTTGCCCTGAACATTCATCACCTTCAGCTGACTCTTGACTGGCCTTGCAATGTGAATGCCATTCAAAAACCGCTGTTCAGCTTAAAGAATGTTCTCCAAAAGCTTCACGAAGCAAAGGTTCCCGTAGTGGACTAACAAGCTTCATGAACAACTTGGTGCATACCCGTTGCTTGGTTTTGCCACCAATCTCAGACAAACCAAAACACAAAGTTGAAAAAGCACTCGAGTAAAAACAGTGCTTGTTCACAGCGTGGTGTCATGTTGCAGACTGATGCAGTACGCTTGGAGAAGTGTGACCTTGGCCTCTCCTCACATCTTTCGCCAAGGCTTTTACAACAATTACAGTCAGGGAACTTTCTGATATATGAAAAAGATGGTGGGCTGAAGGTTTCAGCATAGATTTCAGGATGTTACAGTTCCGTGCAGAAACAATTCTTACAGTTATATGTGAATAAAGACAGACAGGTTTGTTACTGGAGGAATGGGAATAGGAACTAGGACTGGAAGTGCTGAATGTTCATTGAAGTGAAGTTTGACAAACTCAGAGCGAGCCTTGAACATTCTTGAAAATCACCTATATGTCTTGCATATGAGACCAGTGTTTCAAGATTACCCTACTTCTGAAAAATTGAAACCCATAAATGGGAACCTCTTACAAAGGTGCGAGGCATGTATGTGGAATAATGAAGCATATTTCCAGCTTCTGCTGTAATCTGGATTGCTTTATTTTTAATGTATGTAGGCTCTAGGCTTGTTCCCTTAACAATCCAAATCCTGTTTACCAGCTTGACAGAATAAGTGTCTGTTTTGCATGACTAACATAGTTATTTGTAGGAAATCCTAAGATGAGTGTACTATAGAACAAGGTTAAAAAAATGAAATTTGAAGTATTTGCAGTTTTGGAGTTCACAGCGTAACATGGTCAGACATGCTCTGTGTGTATGCAGTTGCAATTTTGTTATGTAGTTCAGTAGGCACATCATCTCAGGTATGTCTGGAACAAATTGTTAATTTTATTTAAAAATGGCTTAGGCATTGTAGGTGAGAACAAATATCTAGGCTGTGCTTCTTAACCTTTTCTGATTCACAGATTAGTGAAACAGGATTTTGTTGTTAAGGACATTACTGATACAATATCCATGAAAACTGTCACTTTCTTTATTTCATAGGTTCTCAACCTTTTCTGATCCATAGAACATTAATTCTATACAGTATACAGTGAGAATTTCTACTTTGTTGACGGTTCCATGGCACTGTGCTTGATGGTGCTGCAAGGCGCATACAAATTTTACCTTCAGCATGCTGAAGGCCAATAACATCAGAATGAGATGGTTAAAATTCACAGATCATGGGAGGTTTTGAAAATGTCATACCTCTACGTGTAGATATCTTCCGCAATTAATTGTTTCGTGGAAAAACACAGGTACAGCAATCCTTATTCCACTTAGAGCATACCACACACAAACTTTCATTGGATGGAGTGGGACTTCACGGGTTAGATGTGGAGTCTGTGAACTTCACTAGTGATTATGTTTATTTATGTATCGCTGCAAGTGAAACCATGGTTCTTCAGAAAGGAATGTCAGTTGTAGATTGATCTCACCTTTGATGACAGACTGGAAAAACCAACTGTAGAAATGAACCCTGGCAAAGCGTTGTTGCCATTCTTGCACTAGACATTGACACTCCAGTCTCTTGAGCTAGATGTTTCAGTGATTTTCTAGGTGTATATTCAAGTCTGGGACCGCCTCTGTGGTCTAGTGGTCAGAGGTCCGAGTTCGATTCCCAGCGCTACCAGATTTTCTGAGAAGTAGTGGGTCTGGAATGGGGTCCACTCAGCCTCATGAACATGATTGAGGAGCTATTTCAAGGAAATAGCTCCGGTCCAGGAAACCGAAATTAACGGCCGTGGGAATTCATTGTGCTGACCACACGACACCCTCTGTCTGCTAATGTTGGCACTAACTTCACTGACAAGTGGTGGTTGCTCGGTTGGTATAGTTCACTTGCGGACTCAAGCCACAGAGTTTGTTTTTTGTTTGTTTATATTCAAGTCTGGCCCCTATGTCATGTAACTTCTTCTCAGTAAGTACTCAGAACTTATGTTTTTGTTTCTTGTCAGTTGAGAGTTCTGTTCTAAATGTATTCACCAAACTGAATTGTTTGTCTGTTGGGAACTCTTTCATCACAAAATTTATGTCAACATTTTCGCCAACACTTTCTTGCAGATCCATATTACACGTAGATGTCATACAGAAATACATGTTGCTCTAAAATATACCACTCTGCTCACTGACTGTAGCTGAGAACAAATGGCTAATAGAGTTGATAACTGCTGTCTACTGCTGACAAATCATGAACAAACTCCCATGCCCAAACTGCACTGCTTGCTACAAAACATAATACCATCAAGGGGTCCACAAGTTAATTACTTCTCTTCACTCCTAACATTATCAGCCATCAGGCATGCTGATTCATCTGCAAAATTTATATGCATCTAGCAGCAAGCTGCACCCTGGTCGCTCTAAAGTGCAGAACCATGGAACTGGCCAACAAAGTTAAAAAACTCTCTGTAGAAGTTAAATCCCTTCTGTTATGTTGGAATCAAAGTGGAGTCATGATCACACACACACACTGAATGTTCACAGTTGCAGTTACAAAAAAAAAAAACTTCCTGTTTGTAAGCGCTGAATTCTCATTAATGCCAAATGGCCGACTGTATATAAGATGCAAAATCAAAATCACTATACTAGAAAATAACTAATATCAAATGTATCCATCATCCCAGGGCCTGGGCATTTGTAAAGTGATCTCCATCTGTCATCCTCATAGCTTCACTTGTCACACCATCAAACAAAGCAGTTGGGGCGGAGGGGAAAAGAGGTAATATTTGACACAAACTGTTTAGTTGCTGAAAGGGAATAAAAATTGACAAGAGTCGCTAGTCATAAAATAATATACACGCCATGTGCACATACATTGCACACACATATACCCCCTACCTATTTATTTATATATAGTGAAGGATTCTATTCTTTGTCCTCATTTTTAATGGTGTGCTTGCAATGAACATTTTCCAGTAGCACAACTATATTAACTTTGCCATATATGTCCTCCATTCCACATATAAGAGCTCAAAAACCAGTGAATGGAACATTCATGAACATGCATTTTTAGCACAGTAAAGTTATGCCAAAGGGCTTTCAAGATGATTAAACAAAAGGAGCTTGTTGAAATAAACTGTACTGAAATAATGATTTTGCCTATTTATGATGAAGGTTGTGATTTTTTATTACCATTGACCACTGTTATATTGTTTATTGTCATAGTGATTGCTTTATGCATTAAATGCTTGCCAAAGAACAATATAATGATTTATGTAGTCACCTTTGTGCAATACAGTTGTGGTTGCCTACCAGCCAGACCAAGGATGGCAAAATGGGTGAAGGGATTTTATGTGTAAGGTAGTATAAGAATTTGTAGACTGACATGCAGACACAGATGACTGTGTGAGAAACATGAATTGTTTCTTGATCCTAGACAGTATGAAACAGGATTAACACTTTAAAGTCTGACATTCATTTAAGTTATAATTACAATTTCAGTTCCTGTCACAGAAAACATTGCATCTCCATTACAAAGGCCTTTCATTTGGAGCTGTTAGGAAAATTAGTCCTTATTTAATCTGAGAATCATGAAACCCATAAATGTACTCTGTGGGCAAAGTGCAGAGTTTTTAATGGTAAAGCAGGTGGTACCTGTAACCATTGTGCTTTAAAGGGTTGAGGATTTGTTTGCATTTTCTGTTTATATGCGGTTAATCGATCAGTGGAGAAACACTTCTTTTGTTTATGTTCATTGATACTAAAAATCAGGAATTAGCAGTAAGGTGGATTTGCCATGCTTTTCATTTTTGCCACCCATTTAGAATCTAAATACTACTACTGTAGTATCCTATATTACATTGTGCTTTTTATTTTGCTCTTTCTGCCAGGAACGTGCCAGTTGCATGCAAAGCCGTTATTGCTGGCACTTGTAATAATCCTGTGTGTGGGTCAGGCACACAGTTGGAATGTATTTACAATAGATGACTTGGATTACTTATTTGCCGCAAATGGATGTGTTGAAGGTATTGCATTTTTGCTCCTTTTATTGCATGTACATATTTATCGCTTACTGGTTCACTGTGTTGTTTAATGCACTTATGTTGCCTTATGTGAGGATCTTCATATGTATTTTGTTTTATGCTTTATTTTTTAAAATGTAAAGTAATTTCCAAACCATAATCAAGTCAATATTTTGATTTTTTTTTTCCTGTTGCGTAGTTGTTAAAAATTATCTTTCAAGTTTTGAGTGGAAAATTAAAAGGAAACAGCATACAAAAAGATTCTAAAGGGTTCTGATGATGGTGGATGACACAATTACTGGGTTTTTGGACTTTTTCCATCGCCCAGAATTCTAGGTAGTAGAGGACATGACATCACTGAGATTAGCTCTTTCTAAGGGGCCCAACTGAGTAAGTGTCTTCCTTTCTCACCTGAAGACGGAAACAGATCCAGTTTCCAAAACATCGTGTCGTCTATTACCTAGGAAAAAGTCCAAAAACCCAGTAATTCTGAGCATACAAAAAGCTTATTAGTATCTTATGACCAGAGTTCTTTTCACTTCTTTCTGACTTTCAAATTGTTAGTGTTAGTCGTTTCTTAGTTTGTCCTTGTTGAAACATGTTAACCCTCCCAACCTGTGTGATGTATATATGTTGGCATCCAGCTTATCTTGTATGACTAGCTCACCTACAGTTTTCTCTGTTTTTGAAATGGGTAGTATTGTGTCAGAATATTTTAGTATACAGGGTGTTAAAATGGTTACAGGCTCTAAGGGGGGCAGAGTGCTCACTTAAATGAGTAAAAATGTCCCAGTCAACATGTGTTCAGAAATGAGTGCCTTATGAGATATTGTTGCTGTTCATGTGATCTCTGTAGCAGATGCTGTATGTGGTTCCATGCATGTCAACACTATTTTCAGCGCTTCATCACACAAGAGGTGCCCATTCTAAAAAATTCATTGTTTCACTTGACTGTCCTTATAGGTACACTCTGTGCTCTCTCTGTAATACCTCTCAGTAGGTGCCTCCACAGCCAAAAATCCAGAAGATTAACCTTTAACGTCCGTCCAAATGACACATATGTCGCAAGCAGCAACTGGAGTTGGCACATGTATGTGATGCAGGACACGTGCACTCTTTGGGAGTGCTGACAGTTTGACCTTGGGTTTGAAACCAAAAGGAACCTACTGAGGTCATGTCAGTGGTTCATTCCTTAGCTATGAACAAACAAATCGTTTATCTGGGTCCTGGTTTCGAAACTATTTATGTTTATATATGACTGTTTATGACCTGGTCAGCCAAATATAGCCCAGCTTTGTTCTGAGAACTGAAGAGGAAATATTCGTCGGTGCTTGCAGATTAGTGCTTCCAGAGCTTTCAAGGAAGTGTGACATATTCAAGGATTGGTTTTCAGTGGCGAATTATCAGTTAGGAAGTCAGTGTTGGATTGTGTAATATTTCTCTTTCACTTAAAAAGTTAGTGTCAGACTGTCATGTATTTCTTTTTATATTATTTTGTGTCTCGGAAGAGGTATAAACCCACTGAGCCAGTATTACTTTGTGAGTAAAAGGCATCTTCGTCACTGTGACTTTCCGTATCAGTGTCGGACTGGCACCTTTTTGACTACTATTACAGTTATTATTTTTTATTGCTAGTGGGGTGGGACTAAGTCCCTTGTACTGCTGCCACTTCTGGCCTATTGTACCATACTATTACAGTTACTTTGGATCACTATTTTGCGAGAGTTCGTGAGTCAACATAATTTATACGATTTTGCTGGAAACCCCCCTCCCCCAAGATGGAACCTCAAAAACGTGCCCGATGTTCCAAACTTCTCGATGCAGAAGAACTGGAGGAAATATTGATGGAAGAAGAATCTGATGAAGAGCTAGAAGATATCAATGAGTTCATTGAACCTCGAGCACATATGTTGTCGTTGTCGTCATCATCATCAGACAACGAGGCAGAGGAACCGGAAATTAGGTTTCATGATAGAAGACCCGGGGATTTGCCAAAGGAACTAGACTTCACTGGTCCTCTGAGTGGAATGAACAGATCAGCTGCTCCCAATATAAATGCACAGTCCTCTCCTTTTTCCATTTTCATTCTGTTTTTCCAACAAATATTCTAAATTTTGTTACAAGAAACCAACAGATATTTCCACCAATTTATGGCATGCCAAGATGCTCCAGGCCCTTCTGTTCAACCGCCTGATGTTACAATTGAAGAGATACATAACTTTTTGGCAATAATTATTCAAATGGGACACCCTCAAAGATTATTGGTCAAGAGATGAGCAATACTACACTCCATTCTACCGTAACACCATGGTACGAGACCGTTTCTTCCATATTTTGAGATTCCTACATTTTGAAAATAATGAAGCTCCTCCAAATCGAGATGACCCAGAGTATGATAGGCTCTGGAAAATTAGAAAAATTTTTGACAATCTCAACAACAAATTTTGTGAACTTTACAATCCAGCAGAATGTCTTGCTGTTGATGAAGTCATAGTGTTGTTCAAAGGAAGAGTGATTTTTCGTCAGTATATTCCAAAGAAATGCAAAAGATTTGGTATAAAAATTTACAAGCTTTGCGATTCTTTTGGGTATACTTACGACATGACAGTTTATTTGGGCAAAGGCAACTTGCGACAGAAGAAATTACATCGACACATGGCATTGTTCTCCAGCTAATTTGAAGAGTAGAAGGCTTGGGACACAAAATTTACATGGACAGTTATTTCAGTTCTCCTGCTTTATTTGACGATCTTTTAGACAGGAAAATAAATTCATGTGGCACCGTTCGCAATGATAGGCGTGGAATGCCACAAGAAATTCGGCCCAAGTCAATGAAATTGAGAAAAGGGGATATTGTTACAAGAGTCAAGGGGCATCTAAATGTTGTTCGTTGGAAAGACAAGCGTGATGTATATGTTCTGATGAATTTGCACCCTCCTCCATTGGAAGGCAACTTTGAGATGAATCTGGCCATGCTGTCAAACCCCATGTAATTGAAGACTACAGTGCACACATGGGCTTTGGCGATAAATTTGACAGGATGGTAAACAGTTATGGCATTGCTAGGAGGACATGGAAGTGGACAAAGAAATTGTTTTTCCACCTTCTAGATATGACTATTCTAAGTGCATATCGATTACATAAGTCATGTGGTGGAAAAATGACACAAAAAGTTCTGTGAAATATTGGTGCACTATTTGATTCTTCAGTTGCATGAGGCGAATATCACAGTCAGTGGCATTTCTTGGGGTAGGCCAAGTTCATCTGGGGCCCAACTCAGTTGACTGGAGGTGAAACATTCATAACATTGGCCAGCCAAAGGAAAACAAAGATGTTGTCATATTTGTTCTGAGAATAAGAAGTGCAGAAGCGCGCTGTACTACTGTGAAAAGTGTGATGTTGCGCTGTGTGTGGAGGACTGCTTCGAGAAGAGACACATGCGCATCAGAGTGTGAGTTATCATAAACTGTGAAGTGATGCAGTTCAAACTCGCGTACAGTCTGAACAAAATATTATTGTATATAGTGTGATCATATACAATAATATTTTGTTCAGACTGTACGTGAGTTTGAACTATGTCACTTCACAGTTTATGATAACTCACACTCTGACGCACGTGTGTCTGTTGTCGAAGCAGTCCTCCTTTCTGATGTTAGGTGTGATTGTTCTGAAGTTGGAGTTCCTCCAGAATAGGATGGACTGTTTGGAGGGGTAATTTCTACAGCTTATCTTCCCTAGCAAATTTATTAATTAAAGAGACTACCAGTACTTTTAATTAAAATGAAATTATTCTAAAAGCTGTGAAAGCTAAAAAAATTTAACTTAGCTTAGCATTCATGATCTGCATTGGTGATCAGTTGGCACGACAAAAAGAAATGTGATCATGATATCAGCCTACCATATAGATGAAACAGACATTGTGACAAATGGAGGAAAGAGAATATTAAGTCTGTCTGTACAATGGATTATAGCAAACTCTTGGACAGGGTTAATTTGAAAGATCAGCAAATATGCTTGTTAGTGGTATTTGAAGATGAGTCCTGGGTTACTCAGTGTTGCAGAAATAGGGAGTATGATTTTATATGTACAGGAAATCAAATAGGAGCAGTTGTCGTTTAGAGTGCAACTGATAAATGATTTATTTGTTCATTACGGGGAAGCTGTAGAATAGATTGCTGAGCCAGTATTTGTTAGACATTGCTGTGTCACATCTTTTGAGAGGCATTTCGTCAAGAAGATACCCACAAACTGAGAAATAATGTAGGCTGGAAAGTTATACAGTGTGTGCAGAACATGTTAAGGAAATGGGGGACATAGTGTATTGGTATGAAAGGTGTGATGTTGATCTGTGTTCTGACTCTTTTGAAGACTACTGCGCTGAAGTGAACCACTAAAAGCTGATGGCATAGAAGTTCTCATATTATTTGTAGGAAATCACTCCTATTATGGCCTGACAGAATATGTGTAATATATGTGTATTATACAATTATCTGTGTACTCACCAATTTTAAAGGGTGCCCTGAATTTTATTGGATATAAATGAATAAATTTTAATTAAAACTGTGTATTGTAGGCCACTATTGTTTAAATGTTGTCACATGAGTGCGGGGGGTTTCTGCATGCCCCTGTCTTCGAGAGACATTGAGGTGTTTTGTCCCTTTTGGATGGTTTCTGAAATTGCCTAAGAGCAAGGTAGGTTGAGAACACGCAAAAGACTTTTAGAATGACTGTGGCAGTAACACACAGTTGCAGAAGCCCATTGTGAGCTTAGAAAGTGAGCTGAATGGACTGATTCAAGGGAAAGTTGATGTCAGTCTGTAATTGCAGTGATTTACAAGTTACTGTAGTGCAAGCCATCAGAAGAGGACATTGCAGTGGCATATGGTGAAGTACTGGTGAACAGAAACAAGCTGATGCCAAGGCCTTAAGTGGCTGCTAGTTGTGAAATCATTACTGTTCCAAAACCAGATAGACCTTAAAATATCTTCTGTCCATGGAGAACTGAGCTGTTTAAAGATGTTCTGTCACTAAGGGGTTAATGTTGAAAGTGATAATGGGATCTGTTGTCGTGGTTCATTAGAACTAGATTGATGTGTGTAGATGATAATTATTGATATGGTCACGTGTTTAGTGTCTAGACATGGGGTTTCAATTGGTAATATTTATTGACCACTTACAAATCGCAGCTATAAGTAGTTACAGTGATATCACTAATTCACACACTTAAGAATTCACTGTAGAATGTACTAAATCTTCAGTATCTTCACTAGGCATTGCCTGGCAACAGATCCCAACAGTATCCTCTACTTCCAAAGTCAAAGTCAGAGTCAGAGTCAAAGTTACCAGTTCATCTTGATGTCAGGCTCCTTGAGACCCACAACTAGGGTTTTTTTTTTGTCAAGTCCTCTGTCAGTACAGGCTTTACAAAGCAGGTCATGTCTATCTTACATATTTTATGCTACACGGCAGCTTAGTCCCATAAGCTTGACCACCTCCATGTTTAAGCCTCTTACATTTTCTGTGTCTGGCTTCACCTTGGCCTGTACCGCGAACACATTCATCAGTCATGAACAGAAACTGTGGATCCATGATTCCATCATGCACATTTTGCAGCAGCCAGTTGCAAAAACGAATTCTTGCTGCATAATCTGGTTGTTTCAGCTCGTGCACAACTGTTATTTTATATTTGTGAAATTTGATTAATTTTGTGGCTTTGGAAGCAGATCATACCGAAACACCAGTTTCCTGTGCTAACCATCTTAACAGTTTTCAAGGACTGATCCGTAGTTGTGCCTCAATATCCCAGACTTTTTCTTCAGTCAGCACAATCCTCTTAGATTGCTTCTTTATGTCACACACTGAGCCTGTCGCCTGTCACTTTTTCACAACCTTGGTTACACACGACTTTGTGGGAACTTGTGAGTTAGGATATTAACAACAAAACTTATGGATACATTTTCTGTAAGTTTTTTCCTTGCAAAAGTTTTGACAATAAACACGTTGTTCAATAGTGAACTTCATTTCATTATAAGTGTTGACCGCCTATCTTAATCTCTGACACAGACTGACTATTAATGCGACTTACTGCAGTAACAAGATCAGAGCTCCTGATGGTGCATGTTTATCAGTGCAAATGACTCATTCTGCTATTGGCAGTTACAGCAGCAATCTGTGAGAAATGTTGTTCCCACTCCACGGTCTGGCCAGGTTTCCTCAAACATTGAATGCATTGTAATTTCAAGCAATCTCAGTCGCCTAGATTTGTCTTACTGTATGTGCTTTGCATATTTCTAGAACTGATGTTAATAGCTATAATGAATGTAAAAAAAGGAACTAAAATAAATTATACAAATAAATAATGGTGTATGTGAAAGCGAGAGAGAATTTTGAAAAACAGTGAATGTTTTTTGGTATAGTTTTCATGTACACTAGAGTTTTCATTGACCTCAAGCAGGCATTTGGTGTACTTTGTAGAGCACTTTGTGTTTACAGAATATCTCATGAATATGAATAAACCGTTGATTTATTTTTTATTAAAACTATATTTAATTTATCTTGAACCATAAGCACAGTGGTTATTTTATGATTAATTAACAGTATGGGTGATGTAACATTGAAAATATTAAAGAGATTGCATCTTAATTATTCTTTAGTTCAGTGGACATGGGTGCTAACTTTCAGAGTTGTGTCACAGCTGTACTCTAGTTTGTGGAAATGATTGCGTAAATTGCATTAGTTTTTTTTTTGCCCCACAGAAATACATTTCATACCTTTTTCTCACCAGTTCTTCATGTGTACCTTCACCATCAGTGTGTTCTCCATATTTTGAAAGGAGTACTGCCACATCATTTGGGGGCATCTTTAGTTGATCTCTTTGAATAAAGTATAGCTCCATCAGCAATACTGCTAAATTCTTTAAGGGGGGGGGGTTAATCGTTTATGGTATTCCACATTGTGTTAATAGAGAATTTCAACTTCAATCCTTGGTATGTTCATTTGTAAAAACAGCATTGCCATGTGGTAGGAACTACTAGAAATGCATGACACATTTGATGAATCTGACAGTTCCACCCTTAGGTGTTTTAGTACATTATGATTTGTGGTTTTTGAGAATTATGAATTAATAGAAACAGGAAACAAATACAGTGCAGTGGTCTCACTCGAGGACAGAAGTCACCTGATGATGGCCCAGTGAGGCCGAAACATGTTGTGAAGATAAATTATGTAAAACCAAGACAGCTTGAGGAGTGTGGACATTCACTTTTAATGTGTAAAGTTTTATGCTAACATAATAGCCTGTGGGCATATTATCGATCTGAACTGTCATAGTATGGGGCATGCGGTAGCATAGTTGATTGAGAGGCTATGCTACAAGCCCGAAGGTCATGGGTTCAAGCCCTGATGAGGTCATTGGATTTTTTCAGTTGACCTAATCCTTCCAGCCACACTAGGTCCTGGGGTTTACTCAGCCTCTAACAGAAATGAGTACCAAGAATTAAATGATTTTCCTGGGAAATAAAGCACGGCCAGCGTGTAAGGCTGACAACAACCTTACCACCATCTTTGACCCGATTGTCTAGATATTGTGGGACCCTCAATGTCTCACAACTGTATGGGCCTTCACGGCCTGGTACAGGGATAGCTTTTTTACTTTTTTACTGTCATAGTATTAAAACGCATTCTTAGTGAACAACATATTCCTAATGTCTTTTTAAAGTTGTGTTATTGATGGATACTGCACTTCAAGGAACAAGGAGAGTCCTACTGAATTTCAAGAAAACATAAAGTGTAAGTTGTCAATATTAATTTTAAAAAATGCATAACCCTTGCATTGTGTGTACCAAAGTAGAACAGATCTGTAACAACCATACATTGTTTATAAGGCTGTTACAGATCTGTTCTACTTTGGTACACAGAATGCAAGGGTTATGCATTTTTTTAAAATTAATATTGACATCTTACCCTTTATGTTTTCTTGAAATTCAGTAGGACTCTCCTTGTTCCTTGAAGTGCAGTACAAATAATGTGGATGAAGGATAACTGGTATACTGGTTGTCAGTAGTAAGGTTCTAATCTGTAACATTCATTTGTTGCTTGTGTGTTAAATAATGTTTTCCTTATTTTTTCAGGTGTGTTGGTGTCTATGCCAACTGCTCCTGTGGTGGCAGCAACTGCCCCAATAACTCAACAGACAAATAGCAATAACAAGAATGGTGTGTCAGGTGAGAACTTGTATTATTCACATGTTGTTTCATTATATTTTCTCCATGTGCCATGAAGCTTAACAGTTAACCTCATCTAGTGTCAAGTCAGGGTTGTCTGTCAAGGAACTTCTCCTCACTGCCCATCTCTGAAGGTATTTCATGGCTTGGCCATGGGCATGGATCATTTTACATCTTTTACTATTGTAACTGTGTTGTGCGTTCAAGTTCTAAGGTCTCCGATTTTTTCTCACACAATAATCATACAAAAAATTTGAAACTTCTGTCACTTTTCAATGTAATGTCCCTGCAGCCATACACATTTTTCACAACACCGACGCCATGATTCCATGGCGCTGCGAATGCTTCTGTAAGAGTCTGTTTTGACCACTGGAAAATCGCTAGTGCAATAGCGGCACGACTGGTGAATGTGTGACCACGGAGAGTGTCTTTCATCGTTAGGAAAAGCCAAAAATCGCTAGGAGCCAGGTCAAGTGAGTAGGGAGCTTGAGGAACCACTTCTAGGTTGTTTTCACGAAGAAACTGCTGCATCGCATATGCCCGATGCGCTGGTGCATTGTCCTGGTGAAAGAGCACACGTACAGCCTTTTCCGGCCATTTTTCTCGCAGTGCTGGAAGGAGCTTGTTCTTCAAAACATCTTGGTAGGATGCACCTGTCACCGTAGTGCCCTTTGGAATGCAATGAGTAAGGCTTACGCCATCGCTGTCCAAAACATGGGTACCATCATTTTCTTAGCACTGGCGCTTACCCGAAATTTTTTTGGTGGCGGTGAGTCTGTGTGCTTCCATTGAGCTGACTGGCGCTTCGTTTCAGGATTGAAGAACGGCATCCATGTCTCATCCATTGTCACAATTGATGAAAAGAAAGTCCCATTCATGCTTTCATCATGTGTCAACTTCTCCTGCCAAATTGCCATGCACGCAGCCTTGTGGTCATCCACCAGCATTCATGGCACCCACCTGGAGGACACTTTCCGTATTCGCAGGTCTTCATGCAGGATTGTGTGCACAGATCCCACAGAAATGCCAACTTTGGAGGCGATGTTTTCTACACTCAATCGGCAATCCTCCAAAACAACTTTCTCAACTCACTCGACCATGTTGTCAGACCGCCTGGTGCGAGGCCGGGATTGTTTTGGTTCAATGTCACACGACATTCGGCCTTCTTTGAGTGTACATTTTTCACATTCATGACACCATCACCACAAGTCTCACTCAACTGGCGATGAATTTCAGTGGGTGTCTCACCACGCAAGTGGAGAAAACGAATTATTACTCGCTGTTCTTGTAATGAAAACGTCGCCATTTTTGGTATCAAAAACACTCCTCACTCTCATCGCCACCACTAGAGTTTTGTGTGCCGTACAGTGCTGTCAGCTCTGTCACGCATTCACAAAGAGTACACATGTATTTTAAACTAAACCACATGTGTCTGTCTGCTCCCAGTCAGAAAAAATATCAGAGACCTTAGAACTTGAACGCCCCTCGTATAGGGCAGTTCTGATAACTCAGAATTTCTGATAGTTAAAAGCCCTAAATACAATGATTTTGTATGAATGTATGGGTGGGGACCGTAGGATATTGTAGCTATCCCTCGGCAATTCTTGCACTGAGGGTTTGTTTATGTTTTCCTGTATATGCAGAGCAACTGTTGTGGGAATGCGGATGATAACACCATATGCAGAGAGGTAACCTAGGTAGTGATGTGGCGGGGCTAGTGCATTGCCAGATTTGTTACTGTTCAAATTGCACTGTCATTCCATGTGGTTAGCAGTCCATAGTGGTAGTACTGAACACAGCTGTAGAATGTCTGTTAGACACATTTGTGCGTTGTTTTGTTATCTGCTTCTCACAGCAGTTGAACAATAGTTACAAGCATGGTAATGGAGAAAATAAAGTCAAACATTCAGATATTGGCCAAAATTAGATTTCCCTTAATATGAAAAGGTTTTTTGTTAGAGAATACTATTTCTGCACCTGTGCTACGAGTCCTGAACAGTTATACTGAGCTCTATGCTGACATAAGTGCATCAGGTGCCTACAAATATGAATCCTATAATGTAAGAGTGTTATATTCAAGTACTGAGCCACAAAAAAGTTATTTTACCAAAGACAGTTCTCAGGTTTTGATTAAACATCTTTTATTTAGTGAGAGTACCAACCAAGTGTTGCAAAAAGTGACCTTTTTTTAAAAAAGTTGTAAAAAATGAATGTTTGTATTTGAATGACACTCATATACGAGGGTAAGTCAATAAGTAAGTTACAATTGGATATAGAATTTAAATTAGAGTCCTGATTTGAAAAAATGCTTTTATTTCTCAACATAATCTCCCTGTACATTGAGGCACTTGTCCCACCGTTTCACAAGCCCCTGAAAACTAGCAGCATAAAATTCTTTGGATTGCTGTCGGAACCAGGTGTGTTCACACTGCATGGCCTACCTCATAATGCATGACAGGTTAGGTTTTCACAAAGTGTGCATGATGGGTGCCACGCATGCTGACCCCACAACACAAAATGCAAAGAATGGGTCTGGCATTACAGCATCTCAATTGCTACCATGATGAAGGACACAGTATGCTAGCCCGAATTGTAACAGGTGATGAGTCTTGGGTTCACCATTATCAGCCTGAGACAAAGCCTGCGTCAATGCAGTGGAAACATCCTCTGTCACCTTGAGGCTGGAATGCGGTGAGCAGTATGCCTTCGTGATCCCAGAAGACTGTGAGCATCACTTTCCTGGAGGATGGTGTCACCTTAAACGTTTTCTTTTGGCATGTGACGCAGGATGTTCAGGGTGGAGGCCTATTCATCACCAGTGCCATTAAAAAAATGTGATTGACATATGGATGCTAATGCAAATTTTTGACATTCACAATGGAAAACATATTTCTGTGTAACAATCCAGCTGAACTGAATAAATTGTTTTGTATAATTCTTAGGTGTGTTCTTTGCATCTTATATGAGTTTCATCAGAAAGAGAGCCCTTCATTTTTGCAACTTTTTTAAAGAACATTCTTTCGTGCCAGCTGATATATGAAAATGTAACTTGTTCTGTGTCCTGCTTCCTGCTATAAATTTAATAGAATGAAATTTACTCCCATTATGTTCTTACCAGTATGATTAGGTAGTTAAGGCTGTTAAAGTGATATGCAGATATTTCAGTGGAGTGACTCGTTCACCATATTTTCAGGCACATTTAGAACCATGCAGATGACTTGATAAATTTACTCCTTCCATATGAATGCATGAAACTTGAGTATTATATATAACGGATATTCATGAAATTTGATGTAGTGGAATATAAAAATTTGTTGACACAGTAGCTTCAGTTACAGTGATGGACACTTTACATGAAGGCTCTTGTATTCTTCTTCATGACCTTATTAAGTATTTATCAGGATAAAAAATATTTTGAACTACAGTTTTAGTAAATAATGAAGTATATTTTATATCCAGTACACACTCCTTGTAAGTCTTAATGGTTTTAAAGTATTATCAGCATGAGTAAACTTTGATGTGCACTCACTTCTGTGTTGTAGAAGAAATATAATTACATTCGAACCTAGTATGAGAAAACAGATGAAAAACTGAGTTTGTACAGTTAGCTTTATTAGAAATAAGAGCTTATAAAACTTCTCAGTCTTTTTGTTAACCTGAATTGTCTATAGCTCCAGGAGTTATTATGAAAGCAGTCTGCTGATTATGTATTGTCATGGCATAAATTGTAGTCTCAGAGCATTTGTAATCTCTCCAGGGTGTGGTTGGGTTTAGACTATTGATCGGTAGTGCAAAACATTATATTAGTACTTAATGTTAATCATTATGAACCAGAAAGTAATTAATTTGTATATCTCATTTTGTCTCATTGTAATTTGTTGTTGAGGGAATCTGTGCCAACCACAGTTCTTTCTGAAGAGTACCAGAAGGAACTGAAGGTGGGTACTGTGAAATTACCATTGCAGTAGTGCCCTTCCATGTACAAATTGCAGGATATCAAAGAAAAATTAATAAAATATACAATCCCCATTTTCAGTCACAAGTCTTCATCAACAAACGTATCATGCCAGATTCTAAATATCTTTAAAGAACGTTCCTGAGGGAGTTGTACGTACAAAAAAGCAACTTAAAAAGTGCCATGAACTACAGGAAGTAAATGTGCATTGTGTGGAGGTCAGTATTAGAGCTGCATTTTAAAGCATATTCAACTCTCCACACATTACATTTCTCTTCAGTATATTCCTAATAAATCATTTAATAGATAATGTGAAGTGAGCTTATGCATTAAGTGCTGGGTGACCACTAGTGTTTCATATGTTTTCAATTTCAGAAGTGTTGTGGTATTTGTGATGGCATTTTTGAAACTCCAGTCACCTGTGCTAGGCATACAAGGAATTTTCGAGGTGAATGTTCATGCAGTTTTTCCTCGTTGAGCACTTGGCTGTTTGATTGGTTCATTTTGTCTAATAATGACCCTGTTTACCCTTATTTATGATTGTATTTGGTACTGTAACATCTTCTCTCATCTACTGTCTCTTCTGCCGAAGAGGCTAAACAGTGCTCAGGCTAGACTTCAAAGAATTTTGATGATGGTATATGCTGTACAGAACTATAAGGTTTATTTTGGACTCTATCCATCGTCTGGTATATATAAGACTGATTGAGACTAGCTCTTTCTAACGGGCCCAACTGAGTAGGTCTATCTTGCCCCATCCACCTGAGGACGGAGATAGATCCAGTCTCTGAAACATTGTGGTTTTTTGTCTTATGTATACCAGATGATGGATAGAGTCTAAAATAAACCTTATACTTCTCTACAGTTCTCAGGCTGCTTTTGGATGGTGGCAGTGTATGACCTTGGGGTATATATCATGCAAGTTTTAAGTTCGGTAGACTCTGTGTTCAGGCATGCCTTGTCTCAGAAGAACCGTTAGATACAGTTACTGATTTTATTAAATTATTTTATTTTATGTTTGAAACTTCTGTATTTTTACTGTTGCATGCAAATAGGTATAGCATCACCATTGCTAGGAGTAACAGCAAGTGAAGGTGAAATAGCTGCCACTCAAGGCCATCAGAGACAGCAGCTGCAACAGCAAACAGCAACACAACTGAATGGCGCAACCACAGTTAATAATGCAAACAACATTACTACCACTTTGGCAAACACAAAAGAGAAAACTCCCATGTGTCTTGTCAATGAGCTTGCAAGATTCAATAAGGTGAAGTATTCTGCTGGGCCTTTTTGCTTTGTTTTCATGGGAAGAAAACAGAGGAAATTGAGTGCAGGCTGCTGTGATCTACCCCCCTCTCAATTTGCTTTCTTTTTAGAAAGAGCCATCAATTTGATACCAATACAAAATTTATTATATTAACAAAAGATTTAAAAGTTTGTGACGGTGGTAAATTGCTACAAGTAATATGTTTTTGTACATTATAATGTACATAAATAAATATTATTATATTATATATATATAAATATATATATATATATAAATATTATTAATAAATAATTATTTATCGTCTTGTCTATTTTTAAAATATCAGTCCGGAGATAGGGGCTAGCTCTATCTATAGGACCCCACTGAGTAGGTTTTACCTGAGGACGGGGTCAGAATCCAGTCTCTGAAACGTTGTGTTTTAAAAAGAAACAGGACGGATTTTTAAAAATAGACAAGATGATGTATAATGTCCAAAACATATTACTTGTAAAAGTGAATAGTATTTGAAAACATTAAAAACTAACAATTTAAATTGTTTAGTTTATTTAGTGATGCAGTGAGTACTGAAAAATATAGGAAATCCTTAAAAACACATATTTGAACATTTTTAGTCTATTTAGTGATGCACTGAGTACCATAGTTCAGAATTATTATTCAAACACATACAAAATTTTTATATATGGAAACCAGGAGTATGAAAAGTCAAATGTACCAACAGAAGGAAGGCTGCGGGTGGGGGTGGGCCATATGAGCCCTTACACAACAACCATCTTTAATCTGTTATGCATACTCTTCCTGAGTTAGCCCTTTAGTAGTCTGTGCTTTGGATGGCATATAGTATTTTGCTTAATGGGGCATTTACAGTTACATAGCTTCACAAATTGGAGACCCAAGTGATATGAAACCTTAAATTTTCTAGAATCTCATAGTTTCATAGGTTGTGCGAGGCTGTTTTGTGTCTGTTCTTCCACTATTTGCAATGGGGGCTATTTACTGGTTCCATTCTGAAGAGGTATCCTGTTTACTAATAGTTCCCTAGTCTTTTGATGGCCCTTGTGGCAACATCAACTCAGGTCACATAACTGGACATTCAGATCTGGTTTTTGCCATCTAGACAGCAAAATCGTGTACCACATTTCCTGGGCACACGTATCAGTTGAACCATGTCATGTTCAGGCAGCTTCACAAAGGATTGATGGCAATTTAGAATTGATCAGATAGTTGCCAAGTGCTTTAATCATTGCCCAGCTTTTTTTAGAATATGAATGTTTCTACTTTATAGCCACTTTTTTATTTGATCAGCAATCAGAATATACATTCTACAAGCTAATGTTATGGTTTATAGCCACTGTGAATATTCACTGCTACGCATGCCTTGATGGTCTATATGTCTGCCTGGAATGCCATGGAATATCTTCATAGGCTGAAGCTGAGTGCCCACCATGTGCTGTATTCATGCACCCCAGCATCAGTGCCTTCATATATCTTGGATCCAACTGCACATCAGACTAACGCCCAGTTTTTTGGGGAGGCTGGAACCTATTTTCCCATTCTGACCATGAATGGTTTTCTGCCTACATTTCTTGTTATCATTTGTCAGTCCACATCTGCAGGATTGGTTCTTCTTTCATGTTCTAAGTTGTGAGCATGCCTATACCATTAGGATTTGGCTTCAGTTGTCCACTGCAGCATGTTTTGTAGACTTCTGCTTGGACCTCAGTCCCCAGCTATAAATGCAATAAAGGGAGTCTCAATTGTGAATATAAGAGTCATTCTCATGGCTACAGTTCTACACAGATAGGTCAGATGCCCTGAATTTGCCAAGTTTTGCTCAGCTGGTTTTAAATTTTGCCCTAGGCAGTCACACTATGGCAACATAGGAGAATGTGGGTCTTATCTTCATCGTATATATCCAGCATAACAGCTATGATTGTATTATGAGAAATAGTGAAAGTGTTATAAAATAAGTCATAAAATGCCTTTGGTTTCCATTTTGTATTTTCCAAAATGTGCCTGTACAGATACATAAAGGTCTGTAGGCTACGTTACTTTGTCCAGCTGCTGCTTCCACGTCAGTCTGTTTGAAGTTCATTCAAGGTATTTGACTTCAGTACACAGCTGTACTGTGTTTTGCTGAAGAAAGTAAAGGTAGAAAGGTAAAGTGTCCCTGTGCTTAATTAAGCACCATGCCAGGAAGATGTATGGGGGAGGGGAGGTATATCTCCCATTATTGACCAGGGCACTAGATGGAGGTAGCCTGTCAGCTTTATGCCCCAGCAGCTTTACCCCTGGGAAAAGAGACCCCAGTACTTATCAGATAGGTGGCTGGGTGAGCCCCAGAGCTGTTCTGGTTGCTATGGAGAAGAGAAAAATCTCTTGCCGCTGCTAGGGATTGATCCACGGGCATCCAGCCTGTAGCCAAATGCTATACTGATTGACTTATTCTTACTTTTTTTTTTCTCAGAAGGAAGCTGGTTCCTTAAGTCCCCTTATTTCTTTTATATTCATAATAAATGGTGTTATTGCCATTTTATGTCAGTGATAGATGCATCTTTCACACCACTGTTATACTGTCTCCAGAGCTATTTGTAGCACCTCTAATACAGTCTTCAGAAATTTTACATTATTTAGCACTGCAGTATCATATCTGTTGCATACCATGTCTCCCCCATTGAATCCCCAGAGAAGTTTTTCCACCACCAGGCTCCACACCAGAGGCTGTAGCATGCCTCCCTGTGGGCTGTTGCAGGTTGTTTACCAGTTAAGGATTTCTTGTGGTAGTGTGATGTTATGTTTCCACTTTCTAGCATAAAGTAAATTCACCAAATAATGTTGGAATTATCTCTGTACCTTTCAGTCTTAGCACTTCAGATGAGGTTATGTAAGATAGCCCCTCTGTATTAAGGAAGACAACTAAGGATCTTTCCTTGTGTTAAGCTGTACTGCCACTGTGTAGTACCATATTGTAAAGTGCAGTTTGAATGGATTTTCCAGTTTTGTAGGCAGATTGATTTTGATGCAAGGGATAGTTCTTCATTACATTTTTCTAATGTGCTTCTACACAAGTGTATCTATCATCTTCATTAAGGGAGACAAGTTGATTGGATGATATGCCTTAGCTTCAGTGAGTCTCACTGGCCTTCATTATAAATGTCACTTTTTCAGGTAATAACATTTCATGCTTTTCTGGGAACAGTAGTTTCATCATCATACTTAACAAATATCTGCTGCTGGGCTGTATCCTAAGCCTGTTGTATCCAGCCAGTTTAATGCCATGTTTCTCTGAGTTCTCTTTAATGTTATATTCCCATGTATACTGAATTTATGAACTGTCTAGCATACCAACTCAGTCTTTAACATATTAGAATAATTTTTAGCTTTATATATACAGTAGAACTTGGTTATAACGTCATCAAAGGGACCTAAAAATAGTGTCGTTATAAACGAATGTCGTTGTAACCAAAATGGGCACTTCCACAGTAGCCTTATGTTAGTCACGTAAAAATCTACCAAAAGCCGAGTTAAAATGTTGCATTTTTTAGTGAATTACATAGTTAAGTACAGACTAACGTAACATTAATGTGGAATTAATATGGATTCTCCATATCGTTTGTACTGTAGAATTCACCAAACCAAATTCACGGAATACATCAGCTTTTTTCCTTCCATTTTCTATTTCACGAATCATTTTAACTTTCTCTTCAATGCTTAAAACTTTCCTTTTCATTGCCATATTTTCGCTACTGCACTTCTCTGGGTTTAGGCAGGAACACTATAGGGTAAGTAGACAATGTAGGCCCTGTTAGACGAGATTCTAGGAAAGGAATGCAGTTAACAACATGCCGCATCCCCTTGCCCTATTCACGCAGTCCCATCCCACACCCTTGTATTCGCATAAAACCCACGCTCCTCTTGCAGCCCGCGGTCGTATTCTTCCAGGACAGTCACATCAGCAAGTAGAGAAAGTGAGGGTGGGCAGACACATCGAACTTTCCCACGATATCAGAGAAATTCAGGAATGAAAATGACGTTACATACGAGGTTGATGCATTTGTGCATGTCGTACTAAGCAAGGTATAAAAACAGTTGCTTTATGAGGAATTAGTTCGTACCATTGAATATTTGACGCAATAGACAAGGTGTCGCAGAAACCGATGTTGCTATAACCAAGTTTTACTGTATATATATGTGTAGGTTTATGTGAACATAATAATGAGCCTGTGGATACCATAAAAGATGGGAATTCTGTGACTGGTTGAGTGACCGTCAGCTTCTCAGGAAAGGTTTGGCTCTATTGTAGTTAATAATTTCTTTGCACAGTTTTTGTCACTGTCTAGCTGTTACTGAAGTATTATATTTGACTGATATTGCAGTATTGTTGAGAGTTTCACTTCCATGCTGCACACTTGATATGTAATATTCTCTGTTGCCATCCCATAATTTCATTTGTAAGTAATTAAGTTGAAATCTTGTTAGGTAGTTTTGCAAACTTTCATGTCCTTTATGAAGAGAAATGTTGAGATTTAGATTTATTTGTCATAATTTTATGTTGGCAATACCTTTTCTCTATGGGCGGCAGTAGTGTACAGGGGTTAGACAAAGTAATGGAAACGCTGAGAAATTGAGGAATACAATTTGTTTGTGTCGGCTGTAGTGAAAGAACATCAGTTGGCAACACTGAATGGTCTTCTTCCCTTTGTTTAAACTCTGTAGCGTTTGTGTCAGTGCACAGAACCACAGACAGTCTCAGTGAGTGTTGTCTTGTGTTGCATGTAATTCATGAACAGGATTCCCTGTGAATCCTGAAACACCCTGGCCATAGTTTCTCCAGCCAGTGTGGGTATCCATAACTTTTTGGGAATTTGTGAACAGTGAAGGATTCCTGTTCCCTTTGAGGGCCCTGTTGTTGGATCGATGTTTCATCGTTGTAACAATTCTTGAACTGTTTCTGGATCATCTACAGATTCAAAAATTCTCCTCAGAAAATGGAACCCAGCACTGCAGCTGAAGTGAAGCCATCTTGCTCTGGCAGCCATGTAGGATGGCCAAAACTGATGGTTCCAACACATTGCATCCTGGAGCATTCATGAACACTTTCAGATGCCTATCCTATATGACAAAGATTCAATTTTTGGCACATTTACTGTATAGTCACTTGTGCTCACCCTTCAGAGTAAGGGGGTTATCTTCATTGGGTTCTCTGCCACACTTGGGCTGCTTAGATGAATATTTCACTTGGTACTAGGAAGGTACACAGCCAGTGTCCATTCATTCTCAGATTTATGGGCAGTTGAATATGGATTGCTACTTCAACCTCACAGAATTCAAGTTTTCACACAAGTAGATTGTTTTATACTGCTGCAACATCACAGCAATCACAGCATTTGGATGGACTGAACTGGCATTGGGCACACAACATGCAGAGCATGTTGGATACAGTTTATCTCATCATGATATAGCACCAATATCCAGTATAAGTGTACTTTTTAAAATTATTTTATCTGCTCATAGTTACATGGATAAGTGAGTTTAATAACAACTTTTTCAAGATCTTGACATTATTCTGGAAATGTGAAGTACCTAAAATACTGTCACATGTTGGGTGTATAACGCGACAAATAACTTCATGCCGTATTGAATCTAGTGAATTTATTGAACACTCGCTCTCACAGTTACACAATTTACAGTTTCACCACTACTGCCATCTGCAGTATGCCTATTACTTCTTTCTCTTCCATTCACTCCTGCGAATGCTGAGTGCAACTGACTGGTTACTCTCTCTCTCTAATAACTCTTATAAACCCCAGTCGGACAGCGGAAATCCCACATCGCTTCACTGTTGTGTAAACGCTGTATTTACAGGTGTTGCTAGGGAATGTTGCCAAGAGTTGTTTATTGCTTCGTATAACTGCGGTGTCCCCTGTTACATCACAATGGGAAGTGCTGTTACGTTACCGCGGGGGATGGAGACGGAATGTTGAGTGGCCTGTTACCATAGCAGCGGCAGTTGCTCCGATGATGTTGCGTCACTGCTGGAGGGGGGTGTTTACCAAGTGTTGCGCCATCCACGTCATGTTGCTTCCTTCTAAAGGTTGTTTGTCCCGAACAGCCTAACAGTGCGTCCCCGTTCCTTTTCTTCCAAGGCTGTGCTTGCTGCTCTCCTGTTGTTTCGGCTGCTCCTCTTGCACTGACTAGTCTCCGGTCATTACATCCTTAGCTCCCTTCTTAGGATTGTTTGTCCCGAGCAATTCCATCGTCCACCGTTCATTGATCTGTTGTTTCACATTCACTCCTCATTCACTCTTGTTGGGAAGACCGGTGCTTCTACATTATCGGCTGTTCCTCTGTGATATTCCATTTTTTCGTTTCAGAGTGGGTCATGCCCTCTGACTTGAGAGCTTGTCTAAGGGCCTCGTGTAATGTCTTCATGCTTCTAAGAATGGGTTCCTTGAAGTTTCAGCTCCTTATTCTTTTGTTGTCACCTGGGTGCCCTAGACATTGCTTCTGGAGCTCTTGCCTTTTCTGGGATCTTGCTGCAGCATTGTGCCTGTCCCTGTGTCTCTTACACCATGCCACTTCTGTGTGGCGCATCGTCGTGATTCTCTCAGCAGCCAGTTCTTTCTGCAGTTGACACTTTTCCTGGGTCTTATTCACCCTGAGGATGTCTCTCTTGAGTCGTCCCCCTGTTGCACGACAAGACATCTTGCTGGTTTTCTTCTGCCATGCCACTTCCACACGGTGGCTCGTCCCTCTGTGGGCAATGACCAGTCTTCTTCTTTGGCACCCGTCCTGACACTGGGTCCATTCATTCATCTGGCGGTGGTGCTCTGCAGTCAGTTTTCAGTCCTTACGCCTTTTCTTCTTCAGTTCTCCAACCAGCATCACTTCAGCATCTTCTTTGGGGACCTCTCCTGCTTGTGCCACCTCGGGTTTCATGTCCACTGAGGTCAGCTCTTCTTCTAGATGTGCCTCCATCTCTTGGCAGGCCATCATCTCTTTTCAGGTATCCTTTGTCTCAAACCACATCGAGCAGATTTCTTCTCACCAGGCTTTCATTCCCTGTCGCAGTTTTTCTTGGCCGAATCTCCATTCCTCTCGGTCAGCCTCCATTGTGGCCAGCAACTTAGCTTGGTTGGTTCTGATTTCTTCTTTGTCTTTCTTCCTATTGGACTCCATTTCTTCCTTGTCAGCCTTCCTGTCGGCCTTCATTTCTTCTTGGCCAGCTGACAGACTTTCCATCATCTGTTGTAAGTCCATATTCATAGGGCAGCGCTATAAATACACACTTCAGTCTTCAGTTCAGTAATCGCTTCAGTCGATGAACTCCTCCATTCACTCCGGCGAATGCTAGGTTGAAACTGACTGGTTACTCTCTCTCTAGTAACTCTTATAAACCCTCAGTCGGACAGCAGAAAACCAACATCACTTCACTGTTGCGCAAACACCGTGTTTACAGGCATTGTTGGGGAACTTTGCCGAGAGCTGTTTATTGCTTCGTAGTAACCACGGTGTCCCCTGTTATGTCACAATGGGAAGTGCTCTTACATCACCGCAGGGGAAGGGGACGGAATGTTGAGTGGCATGTTACCGTAGCAGCCGCAGTTGCACCGATGATGTTACATCACTGCTGGATGGGGGGGGGTGTTTGCCGAGCGTTGTGCTGTCCACATCACAATACTTATTTTACTTTCCTTGCAAGGGGAGCATATCCCATTTGTTGACTAAGAGTGGCTGATTGTGGAATGTTTGCTCGAAGTTGAGGGTGAATGAGAAATTCTTCTGAAACAAGTTTGCAAAATTTTTCCATATTGTGTTAATTTAATGTCTGCTATTTGAGGAGGATGTATACGTACAGGTATATTTTTGTACTGTTTTCTGATTCCACATCTTCCTTAAAAAATCATTACTCAGAAATGCCCTGCTTTTATGGAACCCAAAGTGTATTTTAAGTTTTGAATTATCCACCATCAGGCTTCATCTTCAGTCTGTTCTGTCTAGGCTGCACCTCATGTACAATTTATTTATTTACTAAAGTAAACCATTTGCTACGGAAAATTGTGTCTGAGGATCTAAGGAAATTACTTAATTACATTTAATTCTTGCAGATCCAACATCAGTACCGCCTTACCAATGAACAGGGACCAGCACACAAGAAGCGGTTCACAGTCACATTGAAATTAGGTGATGAGGAGTATTCAGCTGAAGGGGCAAGTATCAAGAAGGCTCAGCACTCAGCAGCCAGTGAGGCACTGGGGCACACACAGTACAAACATCCTCCACCAAAAACACAACGAAATATTCGATTGGGAAAAAGTAAGTAGAGGCATTAAATCATATTTTGTGGTTGTAACTATTTATACAATGTTATGGTTGTTTCTGGGGCACGCAGTAGCGTAGGTGGTTGAGGCACTATGCTACAAGCTGGAAGGTCACAGGATTGAATCCCAATGAGGTCATGGGATTTTTTTCAATTGACCTAATCCTTCCAACCGCACTGTGGCCCTGGGTTCGACTCAGCCTCTAACAAATGTGAGTACCAGGAATATTCTTGGATTGTACTTGGGGGTAATGGGCAGCCTGTGCTTAAGGCTGACAGCCTTACTTCTATCTATGAGCCGATTGTCTAGATCAGTGTTTCCGAACCTTTTTGATGCCGCGGACCCCCTGGAGCGAATGTTAATTGACCACGGCCCCCATAAAACCCCAAGTGGAATTTTTTTTATATTTTACATATCATGAAAGTGAAGCAGTAAGTAACTTACAATTTTAGAACACTAAATGTGTCATTTATGACAATAAAATACTGTTATAAATGGAGCTTATTCGGAAGATCACGAACATATCAATTAGGCCTAATATTATGAATTTAACACTCACCTAATCAACGATCCACACTTTAACCACCGATCCATATCTAAATAAGATCGTGAACAAACTGAAAATCAGAAGTTTCGTTGTGAACTGAATTATTTGAACAAGAGCAGAAAAACTGAATATTAAACTGAGAAAAACACATTCGTATAATATTATAAAAATTCACTGCACAAAAACTAAAGACACACAGGTTGTTCACTCTGCCACTGAGATGAATAAGAAACGTGGTCAATGGTCCTAGCTTCATTCCCAACCAAAGGGGGATGGATTTTATGGGGAGGAGGGGGAGACTGGTCAGACAGCAGGTAAGAAGGACAACAGTCCACCCTGAAACATGGGTCTGAGATGCAATGGGCCAGCCAAAAGAAAATGTCCTTGGAAAAAGCTACACAGATCGTTGGTTATTCATCTCTGCTTTACAAAGGGAAGGTACCGTTACGGTACCAACAGTCCCGTTAAATTTTACTTCAACCATGGGCCTCAAGAGCCAGACATATACATTGCAAATATCCCAGGTGGGAGGAACATGATAAGATAAAGTTTAATGAAAATAAGCCATCCCGCGGACCCCTTTAGAATTACTCGCGGACCCCCGGGGGTCCGTGGACCACAGGTTGGGAACCACTGGTCTAGATAATGTGGGACCCTCAACGTCTCACAACCCTATGGGCCTTCACGGCCTGTTACAGGGATACCTCTTTTTTTTTTTTTTACTTCTGTCATTTCCATTCACTATTGTGATGTTATTGTTTCGTACCCTGCCTGTTGTCGTTTGTAGTTTACATGTTTTATTCACAGATTACTTTTTATCTATCACAAATAACTTTTCTGTGCTCTGTTATTGTAGGGTATTCCAATATGCAAAGGGAATGGCCAGTCAGATAGATGTTACATGTTGTAAAAGAGCACATTGTATTGAACACTGTGACCCTCTTGGGCTGCATACAGTTTTCTGAATGGTTCCCTGTAATACCACTAGTGTATTTCTAGTACTGCACTTTAGAGACATGGCACATGTAGTGTATAATTGTCCATGTTTTAATGTCACTAATAGTGTATTTCAAATAATCCAGTTTTTGACTGTGACATCTCAGCTTTGTGTCATTGTAAAGGGTATGATTGTATTTGGACATACTGGTGTTTGTTGTATGTGTCCTCAGTTGTATTCATATCACCTTGCCTGTCCTGTTCTTACTTAAAAATCAAGAATTACATTTCTGAGGATTTCACTACTGCTGGTGATAGGATACTGTCTAAAATGAGGTCATTATCTATCCAGTCTGTGCTGCTTTTTGTGTGGACAGATGAACATAATTTTAAAGAAGAAGGTTCTGCATAATTTTCCACAAATCTGCTTGAAAATTAATTAGAATCTGATAATTATGACATTAGGAGTGTCGACTTGCAATAAACATATTAAGTGTATGACACAAACTCCGTCCTAAGTGCAACAATTTATTGTAGTTCTTTTGTCTTCTTTTCTTCTACACTACATGTTTCAGCTGTAAATGGCCATCATCAGGTGTATTTCTCTCACGTAGCTGTTACACTGTACGTAGTTTAAAATTTAAAAACACCATCTTTCTTAATTGTTCATTTCTCCATTGTTAATAGGTCCCAATATATCAGCCCTTGCTGATATTTGTCAGATATGTATAAAATCTTTGTTAATTTACATACGTCAATTTGATTTTTGAATTTTGGTATTTTTAAAATCTTCAATTTAAATTTAAAAGTTTCTTAAATTTTAAATTTAAATTGAAGATTTTAAAAATACCAAAATTAAAAAAAAATCAAATTGACATATGTAAATTAACAAAGATCTTATATATATCTGACAGAAATCAGGAAGGGGATTCTGATATATCAGGACCTATTAACAACGGAGAAGTGAACAATTAAGAAAGCTGGTGTTTTAAAATTTTAAACTACGTACAGTGTAACAGCTGCGTGAGAGAAATACTACAATAAATTGTTGCACTTAGGATGGAGTTTGTGTCATACATTGTGTAGAGTGTAACAGGATGCTTAAATATAATATTGTAAACATATTAAGGTAAAGCTATCCCTGTAACAGGCTGTGGAGTCCATTAGGGTTGTGAGATGTTGAGGTTCCCACATTTTCTAGACAGTTCCTTCACAGATGGTGGTTAGGATGTCAGCTTTACGCACCAGCTGCTCTTTACCCCCTAGGAAGATTCCTGGTACTCATTTCTGTTAGAGGCTGAGTTAACTCCAGGGCCATAGTGATGCTGGAAGGATTAGGTCAAATGAGAAATCCAGTGATTTCATCCGGGACTCAAACCTGTGACCTTCCAGCTTGTGGCATAGTGCCTCAACCATCTGCACTACCCTGTTCCCCCTTATTAAATATAACTTAACACCAGTGTAAAATGTGGTACTTGATTCTGTTTGTTTGATCACTTAATATCAGGTCTCTCTTTTCCATTCACCTAATATACAGGTGTCCGGATGAAAGGTATCCAAAATGAAATAAATATATCTTAGAAAGCTTTTATTATACACATTTATGGGTTACACCACTACAAAAGGAAACTATCCAAGTTTTTTTGTGAATATATAATTTTCTCACTAAATTTCTATAGGGGCTCCCTTGCCGGCATGACAAATATCCAGACGATCCATCATGTTTGGTGTTACCATAGCCACAGTGTCCCTTATGCGGGCTTTCAGGTGTTGCAGGTCATTGATCTTAACCTGGTAGACAACATTCTTCACATAGCCCCTCAAGAAAAAATTCAGTAGGGTTAAATCTGGCAACCTAGGAGGCCAAGCAATTTATCCACTTCTGCCCATCTACGTAGCTGATTCCAAAAGTAAGGTCTCCAAAGCGCTGGGTAATTTTTCGTGCGGCTGTTGGCAACCCTGTTGCATTCGTTGCTTCCCCCACTCCCCCCAATACCACCAAGCATGCGCGCACGTAGCTAGGACGCTCAGTCTTGGCACGGTTGACATTAGAAATGGAGCGCAGTTATTCGGTTTTTGAACGCAAAAGGGACTAAACCAATTGAAATTCATCGTCAATTGGTGGAAGTGTATGGCGAGTCGTGCATGGACATAAAGAACGTCTGCAAGTGGTGTAGGGAGTTTGAATCTGGTCGTACTGCAATACACGACGAAAAAAGAACTGGGAGACCGTCAATTTCTGACGAGACAGTCGCAAAGATTGAGCGAGTCATGCGTCAGGATAGGCGCATCACACTCGATGATCTCTGCATTTCGGTTCCCGAGGTTTCCCGAACCACCATTTATCGGGTTTTGACAGAGAAGTTGAATTATCGGAAGGTGTGCGCAAGATGGATCCCGCGAATGCTCACGGAAGACCACAAACGGCAGAGAGTTGACTCCTCCCGTGAATTTCTTCGCCGCTATGCTGACGAAAAGGACAACTTCTTGAATTCAGTTGTCACAGGCGACGAAACCTGGGCGTACCACTTCACACCTGAGACAAAACAACAATCACGTCAGTGGCGGCATTCCTCTTCGCCTAAGCCTCGAAAATTCAAGCAAACACAGTCTGCCGGTAAAGTCATGGCAACTGTGTTTTGGGATCGAAACGGGGTATTGTTGGTTGACTTTATGGAAACTGGGACCACAATAAACGCTGAGAGATATTGTGAGACACTGAGAAAACTCAGGCGGGCGATTCAGAACCGGAGAAGAGGGATGTTGAGCAAGGGCGTAAGCATTCTCCACGATAACGCTCGCCCCCATGCTGCCCGACAAACCGTCGCTCAACTGCAACAGTTTGGATGGAACATCACCCATCCACCCTATAGTCCGGACTTGGCGCCCAGTGACTACCATCTCTTTCCAAAGTTGAAAGAACATTTGTCTGGAAAGCGCTTCAACAACGACGATGAGGTGAAAGCTGAGGTTCGAAGTTTCCTGAACAGCATGGAGGTGAACTGGTATGACATGGGCATACAAAAACTGCCACTGCGCCTACAAAAATGCATCGGCCGAAATGGCAGTTCTGTAGAGAAATGAGTACATGTTCAAGATTCAACTGATGTATCCAAAATTGAAAATAAATGTTTATTTTATATTTTCAAACATAGGAGACCTTACTTTTGGAATTACCCTCGTATCTCCCAGCTATCGCTCTGTCCAAGTGATTCCTAACATGATGGCAGAAATGTGGTGGTGCAGGCGCCTAAACCGGGCATGGGAAAAAAGACTTGCAGGATTTTCCTTTCCGATGAGATAAACCGGATACATGTATGACAGTTACTTTAGGAGATATACATTTTTTTATTTTGGATACCTTTCATCCGGACACCCTATATTGTTTGTTGAAATGATAATGATATATTCATCTGCTGGGTGTTCACAAAATATGATTGGTGTTACATTTTTATTACTGTGGTGTGTAATTGAGTGAAGGAAAAATGAAAGTGATGGCACTCCATGTTTGCATTTAAAGTTTCATATGTGAATCTCTTGCATTGTGACAGACATTGTGATGACATCCAAATGTGTTTGGTGTTTTAAATAGTCAACAGAGTCTGCATGTTCAGACTCCATAAACTTCACTTTTTATGTACCCATGAAAACGAAAGCTAAGGGACTATACCTCCAGCACCTATGAAATAAGGCTGCTTCTCTCGTTCAGTACTCTGGAAATGTTTCATTTGGGTGGGGAGTCATGAGCCATTATTCCTACTGACATGCGGCTGGATTTGGAACTGTCAGTGGCATTCTAGAAGAATAACTAGGGTGGGGAATTTCTTGAGATCAGGTCATGCCAACATGTAGCGAAGATCTCTGTCTTCTCTTTGTGCTTTGCTATATGCTCTGTCTATCCAGTATCGGCCTTCTCCTTGACAGAAGACCTCACTTACAGTGGTTGCACATTAAGTGTGAACGTTCACTCAACATTTTAAACGTTTTAAGGTCTTGAAGTAGGAACTGGACAATGATTCTCTGACCTTACCATGCCTTGATCTGCCCTAAGATGGACTATGGCACTCTTGTTTATGGCTTCACAGTGAAGTTTGAACTGTCCATCCTAAACTCTCCATAACAGCAAGATTTGTGTTGCTACAGACACCTGCCATGCCATGTGCGGAACCTGGCTCAAGTTACTCTCCTAGGTGGAATTTAGATGTTACTAGTACATTCCCTTCTTCCTAATCCGTTTGCATCCCCCTGATATTGATGGTAAAGTTCACCTTCATCCAGTTGTGGAAAGGAAAAGTTTTCAAGCAGGTCATCATACGTAACCATTAAGATAGCTTCCTGTATAAAGGGGGTGTGACTTAGTTGAGATACATTGTCATCTTGGTATCTGCCACATTAAAAGAGGTACACATTTGGAACCTCACTAATGCAAATTCTGAGTGTGTTGTTATTTTCACTTCTATTATTTGCTTATACGTGGGTTACTTATATCATGGTTAGGATAATGTAACACTTTGCAACACAGAATGTATTTTGTTGATACCCTGTGTAGTAATTACATCCACTGTGGACTGTCCATATGCTGTGGATTCAAGTAGTGTTATTTATTTGAAATATAATTTTTGTGGTTTGTTTTCTAGTGGTAATTTCAGAAAATTTACAGGAATATGCAGTGAGCTGAAGATTTTGTCTTTATCAGGCAACATCACACCTACTGTAGAGCTTAATGCATTGGCGATGAAGCGAGGTGAACCAGCTGTATATACTTTTATGGAACCACCACACCATCATGGTAATCACAGTGGGGCACCTCACAATCCATACGTGCCCCCACCAGTCCCTCCAGGACATAATTTCAATTACCGTGGCATGTACAACCAGGTAAAACCATGAAACAGGCTATATTTTTTTTTTTATGCGTTCTGTCTATTATGCATAGTGGGTTGTGAAAAGGAATGTGAAACTGAGATTGAGCACACTATAATTTCTGCTACTGTATTGATATTGCTGCTGTTACTGTTACTACTGCTGCTCATCACCTTCTGGAATTATACCTCCACTCCTCTGTACATCTTCATGGCATGGCACGGCACTTACCTAATTAAGCTCAGGGACAACTTGACTTTTACCATTACTGCTGCGTCTAGGTGTCTGCTCATCTTGTCTCCACTGTTTGGTTGTTTACTATGTCATTTTTGCTGCTGCTGCTCCTACTGCTATTACCATCACCACCAACTTATTACGTGTAAATAACTGACTAACTTTATGGTGCTGAACCCTTTATTGATCAGCCACCAGTTTTGCCGCTATTTGAGAACTTCCCAGCAATTTATGGAACCTGAAGTCTCATCACCATGTTTACAAGATCCCTCAACTGGTCCCTATCCTGGGCCAGATTGATCCAGTCCCTTCCACCCCATCCTGTCTTTCTAAGATGCATTTTAATATTACCCACCCACCTACATCTTGGTCTCTTTCATTCTGGCTTTCCCACCAATATCGTATATGCATTCCTCTTCTCCCCCATTCTTGCTGTGCCCATCTCATTCTCCTCAACTTTATCATTCTAATTATGCTTGGAAGAGAGTATAAGTTATGAAGCTCCTCATTATGTAGTTTTCTCCAATCTCCTGTCACTTCATCTCTCTTTGGTCAAAATATTTTCCTCAGCACCCTGTCCTCAAACATTCTCAGTCTGTGTTCCTTCCTTAATGTCATAGACAGAGTTTCACCCCATACAGAACCACAGGCAAAACTATATTTTATATTCAAATTTTTACATTTTTGAACAGCAGATGAGAAGACAGAACATTTATTCTGAACTAAATGATAGCAAACATTACCTGAATTCAGTCTTCTTAATTTCCTCCTGAATCAAGTTTTGATTTGTTACTATCATGGCCACTGTACCGAAACCATATAAATATGTTTCATGGATTAATACTCTGCACATCTCCTTAGAGATTATACTTCCTGCTTCAGCATACTTCCATATATTTTCTTTAGTCTTCTAGCCATCCTACTGTAATGTTGGTTGTGATAACCTGTCCTAGTGACAAGTGCTTTGGGCCAGTTGGCACTTCACATAGATGACTTTGATAACAAATATCCACATATATCAGCAGGTAGTGATGATAGTGTTTCAACCTCATGGCCAAGTTTATGGTACTTCTGTATTATTATTTGGGAGGTCTTGAGTTCAGATCTCAGCCTGGAGATTGGCTATGTTGACAAGGTCTTCCATAGTTTTCCATAGTCCCAGCAGGCAAATGTTGCAGTAGTAACTTAAAATAGGCCATAAGTGGTCCCCTCTGCTCCAGTCTTTTCAGTTCATCATATGTAATTATCTTGAAAATTCAGTTTATACATTGTCATAAAATAGCCTATGAACCAACAGCTAACCAAGCCAACCACAAAACCCATCATCATCCTGAAATAGTGACATTAATTTCATATTAGCCAAGAACATTATTTACATATGTTTAAATTTAAAAATGTGAAGGCCAAGACAGCATATAGAGATTCTGAGGAACATTTGCACATGTCTGATTTATACACAGGCTGAAATACTGGAAGAAACATTGCTCTTCGTCATGGTTTTTATATGCAGGTTTTACTAGAATACCAAGTTTCATGTTCTTGGCATTTACATTTACATTTATTTTCACTTCATGGATCAAATCGTCTTCCTGTAGGGCTGAATATAAAACATGTCACATATTACAAATTCATGATGACTAAACCTCATACGTCCTTGGCCCAATAAAATATATAATCAGGCCTCACACAGACAGCACAAGTTGTCAAGACTACACACATAGGCTGATGAAAAACCACTGTCAAATTGGCATGGACTTTTAAATTAATACATAACAGAAAACTGTTGAAGAACCAGATGGATTTGACGAAATTTTGTGTTGGGGATGTGTGCACCCTGAAAGTTTTGAAGAAATTGGTTAATATGGGTCTTGTATAACACAACCCCCCTCCCCCACTTCATTTGAAGCTGACATCAGGTTTAACTTATATTCTGAAAGAAATTTTATCATACAAGACATAAGATATACCTCTGTTTAAGACCTACAACTTTTAAATGAAACTTTGTTTTTGTGTGTGTGTGTGTTACATATTTAGCGAAATAAAAAGCAAAAGATTGTCTCTGGTAATGTAATCTGTGCTGTTGTTACTTTATTATATGACAAAATAATTTATGACTCATGAGGTGTCTGTTTTGTTTAGCTTTAGGACAGTGTATTTGGATCTGCACTAATTGTACACAAAGATCGGTGAGATGTAAAGATGATGTTTGAGTCTGAAAAATGTAGTTACTCTGAATTGGAGTAAGTCTTGCCTGTCTGATTTAATTTATGCCCTAACTTATTCTGAATTAAGAGGTGTAAGTCTAAACTGATTTTCTCCTAACTCCTGAACCTGTTGTGTAAGGTTATGAAGAATTGTCTCTTTACTGTTATTTTTGTTTGTAATGTAATTTGGCATGGTTTCAGTTTTTGAATGCTTTGTAGTGATTTTTTAATTTATTTTCTGAATTTCTTAGTTTGCATTGTGTTGTGTTGGCAAGGTACGTGGATTTCCAAACTACGACCAAAATAGGCGCAATACTGGCTCACGAGGTCCAATCTACACTCATTATGACAATCCGGTAAGAATGTGCACTGTATTATCAAAATATATCTTTTAGTTTAGGACTGCAGTACTGTCTTCTGTCATGGTGATTAATCAGGAGAGTCAGGGCCAAATTCTTAGCAGGGTCAGGATTTTGGTAATTGCTAGATGGGCACTGAGTTCCATTGTGTCTCCTGTGTACTGGATATCAGGGGCTGTTCTCTTGGGTGTAAAGTAGCTGGAATTGAAAGTTGACCACTCCCAAGGGCTACACTGTGTGTGCCATCAGCCGAACACTTCCCATATGCTGTGTGATTTGAAGTTACGAATAGGGTTATTCTTAGCTCTAAAAGTACTGGTCCTAGGTTCTTAATATTGAAAATAATTTATTTTTCCAATTTTTTCAATAACTTTTGGCCCAGGATAGGGTCCAGTGATAGACTCTTGTGAATACAGTAATCAGTTTTTGGGTTCCATAAGTTGTTGAGAATTTCTTGACTAGCTGACTGACTGTTAGCTTTCCAGGAAGGACTTTACTGTGTGGAGTTCACCGATTTCATGTTTGAACAGCATTAATTAGAAGTGGGTAAAAATGCCATTTGCTTTACACTATCTGAGTTGGGTTACCTAATATAAAAAAGTGGTAAAGCATTGAAAGTTTTAGAAGTTTGAAGTTCACAATTGTGTATTTGTAACCATCAACACAACATTTCAAGTAAGAATAATAACGAAGGTTATTTACATTAATGTTGAAGACAACATGTTTTGACTCTTATTGGGTTATCATCAGGTGTATCTCGGTTTACTCTGTTGCTGAATTTTTATTCAGATATGAATTTCAAAGAAAGTGGTACAGACTTTCAGACACTTATTTCTGCAGTGCTGAAGGAACGGGAACTTTGTGAGCAGTAATGTGTTTGTACCATACTGTGTGACCTTAGAGGGAGCAGCCAAGAGGGCTTCCCACCTCTGACTCTCTTTGCATAAACAGAATATCATTGCTAATTGCTAAAAATGAAATTTACTTTATCATATTTTGTAAAAACCTGCTGAAAGTGACCCCCCTCAGCCTTCAGGCATGCCTAGAAGTGTGTAAATGAACTTCATGACATTTTCTGGAGTTGGTCCTCAGAAATTGAAGTAGTTAACACATATTATGGCCTGATAATTTTCTTTGCTCCATGTTCATATCTTTTGCATTTTGACATGACCAGTAAGGCAACAATGACTGCATTGGTGTAATGGTATGCCATTTGGATGGTACTAGGTTGAAATCTCTGCTGGGACATCAGATATCCTGATTGAAGATTTTATTCTGCATGGTCCTTGCAGACCAATGCCTTTGTTATACATGACTGCTTCCTTCACACATTCTTCCCATTTCCTCAGTCATTTTGTCATTCAGCAGTGTATAGTGTGGGTGGTGAAATTAGAGGGAAAAACGTGTCAGCACTCTGAACAGCATACATTATGTTCTGTCTCTAATTGATATAGCGAGAACTCATGCATTCACAGTCAGCATATGTAGAGCAGCATGTGAACATCTTTGGGTCTGAATTCATTGTTGCAGTGAGGTATATAATTCAGATCCATTGTAAGACATATGTTTAGAACACGCGTTTAGAGGTTCATTTGTAAATACCTATGAAAACGAGTTTCCACAAATTTGTGTGTATTGAAGTTTCTCAATGTTAGATAAACTCCAAAAAATGTTGGAAAACTTGTGTATACACTGCAAGGCATGCCTGAAGTCAGAAGAGATTCACTTCCAGGAGTTCTTATAAAATACAGTAAGTTTGTGTTGTCTTTATATGGTAGTCAGTAATGAAGTCCTGTTTTTAGTGGAGAAAGTCAGCAGTGCATGCTGGATGAAGTACATTTATGTAAGGAAAAACATTTGTATAAGTTACATGTTTGGAATATTTTATCATTTTGTTTATTGCATACATAATGTATTGTTTTATTGCTGCAAAGCACAAGGCATTAGGCTTAGAGCCTTCGGGTCTGTGAATGAATAACTCGAAGTTTAGTATAATTTTTGAGCTGCATGTTGGTTTTATTGCTTGACTGGAGTAAATATAACTTCAGACTTCACATGAAGTTGAGGTAAGTCGTCTAAGTTAGAAGTGAGATGCTAGTAGATTCATTCACCAAACAAGAGGAAGAGCTCTGCTCCATACCGAAGGATAATTCAGTAAGGAAGTGAGATTTTGGGATAAATTACTTGATGTAATCAAATACTTGAGAACTTGAGCATTTGGGAATCCACTGCAAGTACCTTGCATGTTATTGATAAAGAAGGGCATTGCAGTATATAATATGTTGCTTTAGATTTGGTTATGTTATAGTTCATTTGAAAACGTAATGCAGCAGTTGGTAACAGTACAGTTATAAATGACATTAAGGATGGGAAGAATTTTGAAGGGAGTATGGAATGAAGGGGTAGCTGCATGCATTTCTCAAACTTTCTCATGACATTTTTTATTTTGTCAGTGACTGGTCCTGTAAATAGTATATACTTATATGTATATGTATATGTGTGAGTCCCCCCCTTAATTTGATGATTGTATCCAAAGTATGCATATTGATACATGCGCATGCCCACACATATACGTGCACACATGCGCACACACAGTTGCTGTCAGGATATGTATGCAAACACACTTCATATATGTGTAGATCTCAGTTCTTAACTCATACATATTTTTATTAATCTGAAGGAAGTTAATGTTATATTTTAGCGTCCTGTTGCACTGATTTAAGTCCATGATTTATTTAATCCGTCTTGCAGTGCATACACTCATTTATTTCCTTCTCTCCCTCGCACTACATGTTTCGGCATAATAATGCCATCTTCAGGTGCTTACTTATCCACGTCAAACCAGTTCATTGCATGCCATGTTCACACATTAAAATAACTAAAATATGTATCTATCATATACATTGTCAAACGTTAAAAATATTAAA